CCTAGGTCACTTCCAGCCATTTATTCTGACCCTTTAATACAAATGTGAAAATTTATCTTTATGCCACAGGATTTTACCTAAACCACTAATGTCCCTGTCTCTAAAGCCTGTTTTCTCATTTTAAAAAATAGATTTTTTAATATATATTTTAAAAAAAACCAAACTCATTGCTGTCGGGTTGGCTCCGACTCATAGCAACCCTATAGGAGGAGCAGCTGGTGGATTTGAACTGCCTACCTTTTGGTTAGCAGCCTAGCTCTTAACCACTGCCCCACCAGGGCTCGATTATATATAAACACCAAACCAAACCAAACCCGTTGCCATCGAGTCAATGCCGACTCATAGCGACCCTATGTGACGGAGTAGAACTGCCCCATAGGGTTTCCAAGGAGTGCCTGGTGGATTCCAACTGCCTACCTTTTGGTTAGCAGCCATAGCTTTTAGCCACTACGCCACCAGGGTTTCCCCCATTATTTATATCTATATAGACATACATATATATCACAGTGGAAAATTTCAAAGTTAGAATCTAAAAGAAGAATCCCTTCACTGAGAACTTGCCTAACCTGTGTTTCAGCATCAGTCAACCAAGATAGGAAGGAGCAGATTTAAAATTGATTACTGTTATTTATTATCTACGTGGGGTTTTCAGTCCCAATGTAGATTAAGAACACTGGTGAGCCCCTGAGGTCAGGAGTATCCTGAGTAGTGAAACACCACATGACTTACGCATACCTGCTACCCTGCAGCGCCTGTCTTCCCTGTAACAGGCTGTTGTGTTCACCATTCTTCATATCTAAACACATGGAGTAGCTTTCTTACCCTGAGACTGAGTATAGACTTCAGGCAGTGGAGCTACTCCCCATTCCAGTGGATAAGCACACCCTGAAACACTCCTTTCCATAATTTAAGCACAGAGGGAGAAGGGAATAGACTGCCCTTTGTGACCCTGTTTATTCCTTTCCAGCATCATACCTGCTCTCAAGCGCCTGAGTCTGGGCCTTGTCTACTTAGTGGGCTACACTCTGCTAAGCCCCCACATCACAGAAGATTATCTCCTCACTGAAGACTATGAGGTGAGTGGATTCTAAAGCAGCAGCAGGGTGACTGCATCAGAGATAGATAATGGACAGGCAAGGATCCCTACGGAGAGCAAACAAGGGGGTCATACCATCTACAAATGCATGTTGGTTTTACTCTAGATCTTTTAGAGTTGGTGTCAGTGCCGGCCAGGCCAGGACATGGTCATCAGCCAGCGTTAAACGGCCTTCACGGGCACAGGGCTGTGCCAGGTGCACTTTTAGCACCCCTTCCCTTCCCCAGGAGCACCTCCTAGCTTGCTTTATTATTGCATCCAAGTGACTCTTTGAAGCACAGCCGCTTCTGATCCTCTCCAGGTGATTTTCTTCTGACTGATGGATTTGGGGGTTTATACGGAAACAGGAAAGAAATCAAGGGAGGGAGAAGTGCTAGTTTTCACTCCTGCCTAGCTGAAAGGCTTGCAACAGTTCTGTAGCCACTCTAGGTAGGTTTCCTTAAACATTGAACATGTGATATGTAAAAGTCCCTCAGTACTTATTAGTCCAAATGCTCAGTGCTGTGCCAAAGGCATTCAATAGAAGAGTTAAGGACAGTGCTGTCCCTGGGACTCTCTAAGGAAAAGGAGGTGAATGGATGCTCACTCCATTACTGAATGGATAATACTTGCCTATTATAAAGGCAAGTAAGCCAAACTATCAGGTGGGCATCTGACAGGAGCATTTTGACTAGTATGAAGTAGTCAGCTACAGGTTTAAAAAGGAAGAATGTTAAGGGAAATTTGCTTTGCCCGTGTGATAGCCCTAATGCACATGTGTTCTTTCTTCTCTCAAGAACCGCCCTTTCTGGTTCCGCTGTATGTACATGCTGATCTGGGGCAAGTTTGTGCTCTACAAATACGTTACCTGTTGGCTAGTCACAGTAAGTAGAGAAGAAGGATCAGAGACACATATAGACAAGTTGTGGGGAAGGTGAGGAGAGTGGCAAGAACCCTAACAGTTGTTGTTCCTTCCCTCAGGAAGGAGTATGCATTTTGACAGGACTGGGCTTTAATGGCTTTGATGAAAATAGAGAGGCAAAGTGGGATGCCTGTGCTAACATGAAGGTGTGGCTCTTTGAGACGACCCCCCGCTTCACTGGCACTATCAACTCTTTCAACATCAATACCAATGCCTGGGTGGCCCGGTAAGCAACAGGAGGGGAGATCTGTGCCCTAGCTCCTTCTTTCCACGGCATCCCCAGATTTGAGGGCAGGCATTTGTTATGTCACCCTCTATCCATCTTTTCCCACTTCAGGTAGAACCTCCAGTCCCTCTCACACACACATTTACTTTTGTCTCCCTGCCCCTCTGAAAAAAAAAATAATAATTCCTGTCATATTTGAAAAACAAAAGCAAGATATCCAAGTGCCTTGAATCCCGAGTTTTAATTCCAGCTCGGCCACTGGTTTTATGTTCTCCATTGCATTGTTTAAAAAACATCTTTGTTTGTTTGCTTGTTTGTCCCACCACTAGAGATGTAAGCAGCACGAGTAGAGAACTGGTCTATCGTGTTCACCACTGTGGTCTCAGCATCAGGCACTCAGTAGGCACACAGTCATTATCTGTTGAATGAAGTGGCTTGCCCAAGATCACCCAGCTAAGCCTTGGGTCTGTTTTCTGTCTCTAAACTGTGAGTCGTCAACTTAACTGCCTTTCATCTCTAAAGCTAATCATGTAGCACTAGCACTGCCTCCCTAACCCCTGGTGGCCACAAGTGGGAGCCAGCTCCACTCCACGCCACTTCACTCCTCAGGGCACTGAGAACCTAGTGGCAGGATGGCGGGAATGCAAGACCTGGTATGAGGTTCATCCTTACCCACCCTTTTCTCTAGTTACTTCTTCAAAAGACTCAAGTTCCTTGGAAATAAAGAACTATCCCATGGTCTCTCGTTGCTATTCTTGGCCCTCTGGCATGGCCTACACTCAGGATACCTGATCTGCTTCCAGATGGAATTCCTTATTGTTATTGTGGAAAGACAGGTAGGCCTCAAGGGTAATGGGTAGAAGGGGAGTATGGGAAGCAACAAGATTCTGAAGACCTCCCTCCTTCCTCCCCAGGCTGCCAGCCTAATTCGAGAAAGCCCAGTCCTGAGCAACCTGGCCTCCACTACTGCCCTACAACCCTTCTTCTATTTGGTGCAACAAACCATCCACTGGCTCTTCATGGGTTACTCGATGACTGCCTTCTGCCTCTTCACGTGGGACAAATGGCTTAAGGTGAGGGCCTGCTTGTGAGGATGGGAGGGAAATCGGTGACACCTTAGGCATTAAGGGATGTTCCATGCTGTCTACCTCAGTAGCCTGTCTCTCTCCACAGGTGTATAAATCCATCTATTTTCTTGGCCATATCTTCTTCTTGAGCCTACTAGTCATACTGCCTTATCTTCACAAAGCAATGGTGCCAAGGAAAGAGAAGTTAAAGAAAATGGAGTAATCTATTTCCCTAGTAAGTAGACTTCCCTACAGCTAAACTCAAAACTACCAAAGTAGAGCGATGGATTGAAAAAAAGATGTTATTGTTAGCTGCCATCACCCGACTCATGGCAGCTGCATACACAATGGCACAAAACGCTGCCCAGTCCTGCACCATCCCCGTGATTGGGTGCAGTTTGGACAGTGTTCCACTGTGATCCATAGGGTTTTCATTGGATGATTTTTGGGAAGAGATTGCCAGGTCTTTCTTCCTAGTCCACCTTAGTCTGGAAGCTCAGCTGAACCTATTCAGCATCATAGCAACATGTAAGCCACCACTGGCAGACGGGTGGTAGCTGTGTATGAGATGCATTGGCCAGGAATCAAACCTAGGTCTCCTGCATGGAAAGCAAGAATTCTACCACTGAACAGCCCCTGCCACCGAGGGACACTTCCTTCTCTGCCTTATACCTTTTTTAATGTTGTGCAGTGGACATGTTATTAGTATTGGTAATCCCTGCACATGGAAGGTAATGAAGAACCCATGTACTGCTATCAGTCATGTTGTGTGCTCCAGCTTAAAGCTTCCGTTTAATTTCTCCTTTGTCCTCTTTCTCCCTTCTCCACTACTGAACTTTAAGTCCTAAGGCTTCTTACCCATGAGGCCACAGAAGCAGTCAGAGGTTCTGGGAATTCGAGTCCGGGGGTTCACTTCAGTCAGCACATTCTTCTTCTTTCAAGGTAGCCTAGCTACTAGAAAACACAGTATGTGGCACTGACTATTCTAACTTACTGAGGCATGCTAGGAAGATGTGGAAGGGCTACAGACCAGGGACTAGGAGCAGCAACTCTAACCAGCCTGCCAATCAAATTTCTTCTCTTGCAGGTGGCCTCGAGCAGGACTGATGCAGAAACTACTTGTCTCCTTTCTCACAGGACTCCCTCACTCCAGGCACAGAAGCCAGGGAGTTGGAAGACATGGCACTCCTAGCTGTGCCTCTGCTGCCAGCCAAGTCTTCATTTGGGGCCAAAGGGGAAACTCTTGTGGGAGGAGTAGAGGGGCCCATGTCTCCCCTCTGTGCTCCCCCATGCACGTTGCCTTATCTCTCCCCCGCTAGCCAGGAATCTGTTGTTTTTCTTCTGCCAATTTACTATGATTGTATATGTGCCGCTACCACCACCCCCCCCATGGGGGGGAGGGAAGGGTTACAAGGCCCCCGCCTGCTCCACTTTTTCTACCTTGGAACTGTACCAGATAAAATCACTTCTGTTTATTGAGTTTTTCACTGCTAGTATTCCTGGCTGCCTTCTTTCTGACACAGTTCTCCACTGCTGAAATAATTAGGGCTCTCTCCTTTACAGCACAGTAATTTAGGAAATTGGAGCTAAAGCCTGGAACCAAACTGAGAAGACTGGAACCTCCCATCTTCACCTGAAATCTGAGAGGAGCAAACACTTTATACCACTAGACACTAAGCTGAGGAACGCCCAAAGAACAACTAGGTTTATAAGAATTATGTTTATAGGATAAAGCTAATAGCAAATACAGCCCTGGCTTCCCACAACTCCACAGTCTCAGTGCAGAAGTCATTCAGCAGTCAGCTCAGAACAGAGTCAAGGGATGTAAACAGTCTTTGTGTTTTGGAACAAGGGTCTTCTACTGTCAGATGACCCCCCATACTTCTTCAAAGGCTGTGGTCAGTTTTGCACAGGTGAGGGCAGCAGAAAGGGGATAGTTGCTGATGGACACCACCTTCTCTGTATACTCCACATTCACCTAGGGAGAAAAGAGTTTTGTCAGCTGAAATAGACAGCAGGGTCAGCCCTTCTCCTTTAGGCAGGAAAACATGGCTATAGCTGAGTTAGTATCTCAGTGTGCTGTTTAAGGCCACAGTTGTACAAAGGATGAAGGAGGTCCTAGCTTTGACTATTACACATATCCCAGCAGTCCTCATTTGCTGCACCCTGGGGCAGGATGTGGAACTTCCATTTGTCTTCTGGCTCTGTTTCTACCCTTTATTTCCCAACTAGTAAGAACAAGGATTGTCAAAATGCTAACTGCTTTCTGAATTCTGTACTAAACCTCAGCTCTACAAAGGAACAGGTGTTGCCCTCGCATGGGGTGAGGGTGGGGCGTTAGTTCCCTTGGGATCTAAGCCCTTACCTTGCCATGGGCAAAGGCTCCCACCACAAAAACAATAGGGTCACTGCTGGGCACCAACTCTCGTACATCACTAACGACTTGGGTGGAAAAAGAAGTGCCAATTTTCATACATCCAACTGGGAAGTGATCTGACACTGGATTCTTAATTACCTTAAAAAAAAAGAAAGAAAGAAGCATCAGTCCGAGTAACATTCTCAAAACCCTATCTCCAACTAGTGAGTTTCAATACCTCACCTTCAACAGCTTCTGGGGGCCATCAGCTGCTCGAACGCTGAGTTTGTGTAAAAGCTGAACTGGCGGGGGGGAGGAAAAAGGTCAGAGCTAGGTGGAGACCCCATTTCTTCTGCCCAGTAATCTAACCAAAAAAACCCCTAGGTAAATGGGCTGTGTGTGTCCTTTGCATCCAGACTACAAAATTTAAGAACAAGCAGCTGTCCAGCATATAACTAGAAGGACAGCTGACAGGTTCAGCCACTCGTTCTTACTCAGCCAGGAGCTCAGGCAGGAGAGTGGTATTTCCCTGCACATGGAAGGTAATGAAGATTCCATGTACTGCCATCAATCATGTTGTGTGCCCCAGCTTAAAGCTTCCACATTTAATTTCTCATTTTTCCTCTTTCTCCCTTCTCCACTACTGAACTTTAAGTCCTAAGGCTTCTCACCCATGAGGCCACAGAAGCGGTCAAAGGTTCTGGGAATTCGAGTTTGGGGGTTCACTTCAATCAGCACATTCTTCTGGGTGTGGATGTAAACTTGTAGCAAGCCAGCTCGGTTCAGGGGACTGTCCATCAGCATGAGTAAACTCTGAGGGAGGTGAAAACCAAGCACAATGAAAGGTGAAGAGAAGCAGCACACTGCTGCCTTACCCTCCATACAAAGGCTCAAGGGGTGTGAGCTCTGTCCTGGAGTTACCTGGTGGGCTATGTCTGGTCTTACTTCCCCAGGGTCCCGTCCATTCTTCAACAACATAGACTTGTGCTTATCACAGTTGAGTAGCTCATATGTCTTCCCTACCTGGGGAAAAGCAAGGAACATGAGAGAGCAACATAAGCTATTACCTCATCCAGTGGTTCTCAAAATATGGTCCCCAAACCAGCAGCAGCATCTGAGAACTTGTCAGAAAGGCAAATTCTCAGGCCTACTTCAGATGTACTGAATCAGAAACACTGGGGTAGGGCCCAGCAAGCCCTTCAGGGGTTACTATGTTATTCCAAGTAACTGGTCTTAGAGGAAAAGGGAGGAAGAGCACACCTGTGACTTCACATGATCTCAACTGGGTTTAATTTAAAACCTGTGCTTATCAGGCAAGGCCAGTGAGGGATTCTGGAACCAGGTAAGACTTAGGTTAGTGAGCAAAGTTATATGCTTATGTTTATGACAAGGAGCAATAAGTGCGTATGGGCAAAATACAGTCACAGCCCTCAATCTGCTTGAACATGCACTAAGTGAAGAGTAAATCTGAACAGTAAGAAGTGTGAAAATTCCAATGATACGGGAAGGAGTTTAATCAAGGAATACATCTCTTAGAAGTAAAACAAAGGTTATTCCCACTTTTAAGACTAATGTGGGCAAAAGTATGAATGGGAGTCAAGAAAGCAGAAACAGGAAAGTAAATGACACTGAAAAAGTGGGAATTGAGACACTAAAGGGCAGTGATCAAAAGTGATTATGAAACTGCTTTGTAAACTATAGCATCCTCATGTAACAAGCACAAAACTAGAAATAATTCTCAAGAAAGAGAGGCATGATGGCAGTGACTGAGAAATATGATCCTGGCAACTCTGTGTATACTGGAAAAGACACCAGCTGGAAGTTTGATAATAAAGATCTGGACAACATCTGTAGCAGCTAAAAGAAACCAAAAGAAATAATCGTAATTTGGAGTCCTAAGGAGCTCTAGGGTGGTCAGTTAAAACTCTAAAACATAGTACAAATACAGCTTTTGAAAGGCTGTTTTTACATATCAATAGAACATTTGTATGTCCTACAACATCTTGAGATATATGGCTCCAAAAAGTTGAGGGTGGGGAAAGTGATACAGATTTTGAAATTAACTGAATAGTCAAAATGACAGGAATAGCACAAAGAGTAAGCACAGAGGAAGAATGAAAGACCAAGAAGTCAGCCCATGGGACACCCTTAGTTACAAGAAAAAAAGAGAACCTCTTGAATAATCCAGTTACAACCCATTAGTAGGTTATTACCAGAGTTTTTGTTCTTTTAATGAAACAGAATCGAAAATATCAGAGCACTTCACATGTAGTAATGGTAAGTAATGGTTCGTGAAGCTTGGTATCACATAGTTGAGTGTGGGTACTGGCTCATAATGTAATTTTTTTTATTGTGGGTTATGGTTAAAAAGTTTGAAAACTACTAACTAGAATAATCAGGGAATGACTAGAAAAGGCATAGTAACAGAAAATATCCAGAGTTTTAAAGACGAGAGGATAAGTAGGGCCGAGAAGTGAAAGAACGAAAAAAAATTTTTTTTAATGCCACATTTAGTTATGAAGAAGTAACATTTTTATGTATAATCACTGATTCAACAAGGACTTACAAAGCACCTATCATGTGCCATGACTCTGCTAGGCACTGTGGATACAAGAAAGAATTTTTAAAATTCTTTGCTCTCATAGAGCCTCCTCGTGGAAAAGACAAACAGTAACAATCATATGAACATTTAAACTGATAAGCATTATGAAGGAAAAGTAAAGGGTTCGTTAAAGGATCATAACAGGAGGATCCGATTTATACCAGGGAGGGGAGTCATTTCTCTGAGGAGGTAATATTTAACCAGAGACTCAATAATTGTTAAATAAATGAAAAAATAAGTACGAATTAGACAGAGCTGAGTAAAGGGAGCTTCCAGATAGAGAACAACATGTGCAATGACCTTAAGGTATAAGAGAACTTACTGCTTTCAAAGAACTTAAAGAAGGCCAAAGAGGCTGGAGTACAAGGAATAAATGTAGAGCGCAGGCCCAGATGAGGCTAGCAGAAGCAGGAGAGGCCAGCACAAGGAAGGTGAAAGAAAACAGAACAAACCGATGAAGATTTCAAGGAGCTATGAATTCTATTACCCTTGAAGTGGACCCCTGGTGGTGTAGTAGTTAAGAGTTCAGCTGCTAACCAAAAGGTCGGCAGTTCAAATCTACCAGCTGCTCGTTGGAAACCCTATGGGGCAGTTCTACTCTGTCCTATAGGGTCACAGTGAACCAACTCGACAGCACCTAACCACAATAACCCTTGAAGTACCACTGATGACAAGCTGGCCGGAATTCTTTCGGAGCATGCTCTAAGAATTTCAATTTGGCTGTGACAGTTTCAACTTCTTAATAAGGAACCTAGAATAAATAACAATAATAGTATGATTTACCAAGTGTCAGACAGTATTCCAAGGAGCCCTGGTGGTGTAGTGGTTAAAGTGATCAACTGCTAACCAAAAGGCTGGCAGTTCAAAACCACCAGCAGCTCTGTAGGAGAAAGATGTGGCAGTCTGCTTCCGTAGAGATTTACAGCCTTGGAAACCCTACAGGGTTGCTATGAGTCGGAATCAACTCAACAGCAGTGGGTTTGGTTTTAGACAGTATTCTAAGCCCTTTACACATATTAATTCCTTTATTCCTCCCAACACCCCTATGAGGTAGGCACTATTATTATCATCCCTATGTAATATATGACGAGAACCTGGGTAGTGCAAACAGTTAATGCAGTATAAGAACTAAGTTGCTCAGTCCTGCACCAATCTCCACGACAGCTGGCATGTCTGAGCCCAGCTGAACAACATTATGTCCTGATCCATAGGGTTTTTATTGGTTAATTTTCGGAAGTAGATTGCCAGCCTTTCTTCCTAGTCTTAGTCTGGAAGCTCCGTGAACCCTGTCCACCATGGGTGCCACTGCTGGTATTTGAAATAATGGTAGCATAGCTTCCAGTATCATAGCAACACACAAGCCACCACAATACCACAGTATGACAAACTGTCAGACGAGTAGTGGCCCCTCCCTTTAGATGACCTCCCCCACCTCCCCCAAAAAACAATATTGGTAAAACAACTGTAAGCACTACGGTGCGGGCTGGAATGAGATTCAATAAGGGCAGAAGAAATTGAGTACTATCGAAACAGGATGTTAAACCAAGAAGACAACCAATTAAGCCACCTACGCGCCAAAAGAATGTTTCACCTCTCTCTACTCTCTCTACCCACTTCGAGCTCCTCACTGCACGGAATCCCAGCCTATCAATCTACCAGTTCCCACCTCCCAAACTGCCGGCCCAAACTACCTTGACTGTCTCCAGACTGGCCCCTTCCAGCACCACAATGAGCCTACGGCCTCCAATCTTGCTTCCTGCCCCGAGTCGGGGCCTCTTGGGCGCCACAACATCCCAGCCCTGTTCCTGCTCTCCACCGCGTCGTTCACGAGGCTGGAATCCACCACTGGGCGCAGCCATCTTGCAAGCGGACCGGAACTTGCACCAACGTCCTCACGTCAATTTCTCAGAACCTCGCGCCGTAGCGGACCTCCCCCTAATCTCAAACTTCCTTCCGGCTGCCATTTTGGAAGCGGGAGCTTGGAAATGGCGATGGTTTGCGGTCTCGCACTACCGAAGCCGCCGTGGGAGAGCAGGGGTCCAGAAGGGGGCGGGGACTTCCGGATGCGCAATTCCTGTGCGCGAAGTTTGGGTCCGCCACTGGGCAGGGGGGGAGGGCTTAGAAGACAGCGCACTTCCGGTGCCCTTTCTCCTGCTAGCCCGGCGGGCCTCGGACCCTCGTGTGAAGGGTGTGATTCCTAAACTGGGGCAGGGTAGAGGCGGGCCGGCACCCCCTTCTAACCCCTGGTCCCGCAGGCCTCAGGAGAGGACATGGCCCAGAACTTGAAGGACTTAGCAGGACGGTTGCCTGCCGGCCCTCGGGGCATGGGCATGGCGCTGAAGTTGCTACTGGGAGCCGGCGCCGTGGCCTACGGCGTCCGCGAGTCCGTGTTCACTGGTGAGCTCCTCCTGCCCGCTCGCTGGGCCCGACACGTCCTCGTCCTGACCTTCCGGGACCCCCTTCTACCCCTCCCCAGACTGTTTGCCATGTCCCGTCGCGTCCTCGCGCTCCCTAGCCCCTCACCCTGCCCCACTAGAGCATAGCACGTACACTGAACCGCTACGTGGCCCGATTCCCCACCCTTCTCTCTACAGTGGAGGGCGGGCACAGAGCCATCTTCTTTAACCGGATCGGTGGCGTGCAGCAGGACACCATCCTGGCCGAGGGCCTTCACTTCAGGTAATGGCGGTCAGAGACGTACTGACCCTGACCCTTCACCTTTGACGCTGACCCCACTAGTGGCTATGATAGGACTTGCAACAGAATTCAACACTGCTCTTTCTTCTCCTCACCCTTTCACAGGACAGCGAGTGCTGCCTGAAACTCCAGTAACACATAAACTTAATCTAAAGGGAGCAGAGAATCTCGCCTTGTCCGTGGTCATTAAGGGGAAAAGCGGGCCAAGAATTTTCTGATGAGGGCAGGCCAGGCAAAGCTAGTGAAATAGTGAAGTATCTATGCCTGTTCTCTCTCCTCCAGGATTCCCTGGTTCCAGTACCCCATCATCTATGACATCCGGGCCAGACCTCGGAAAATCTCCTCCCCCACAGGCTCCAAAGGTAGGTTTGGGCACTTGGGAGTTACAAGGCAGATGGGAGTCACAAAATAAATAAAGGAGCCTGGCAAGGGATCCTAGGGGAAGATGGTAGTGCCAGGTCTTTTGGGTCTTGGTTTCCAACTTTGCAAGAGAGCTATCATCAAAGTATATACATCTGGGGGTTAAAGCTGTACACAGCCTGGCACACTGTATGTTCACATATTTTAATTAATTGTCCCTCCTCTACAGTGTAAACTCAGTGAGGGCAGGGATCTTGTATGTCTTACTCACTGCCTAGATCAAAACCTCATTTAAAAAATTTTTTTCTTCTAACTGCTCAACTTAAAATAAGTACACTCTCTAGCATGCCTTGTCCTGGGGAAAGTCTGTTTCTCATCCTCATTCTTCACTGGCATACCTGTTTCCTCTTTCCAGAGCATACGTAGAAGCCATGCTTTTGCAGTTCCCCAGACCCCTTCCTCCTCATTCCCGCCTTTCTCTTCCTGTGCACACACACTGAGACAAGTAGCTCACCTGTAACCTGTGTTGTACCTATTTGTACTATTTTTAGTGTTTGTGAGTTTATTCATTCACTAAACCCAAGGTCTTGAGAATAAGATTCATAAAACACAACCATTGTCTTCAAGGGGAGCTTATGCCCAGTAAAGAAGACAGATGATTATACTACAGCATGATAGAGGTTATGCAAAGTAAAGTGGCAAAAACAGGTTACCTCTACCATTAGAGGGAGTGTGGTTAAAGAAGACTTGACAAGAGGATGAGGGTGCTTTGGCCTTGCCTTGTCACATGCGTGGACCTGATTATCTCCCTCCCCCAGGGAATTCCACTATGCACAACACTGCGTTAGGCACTGAGGGAAATGCAAGGAGAAAATGCTTGGGGCTGGTGTTTGGCTAAGGGGCTAGATGAGGCCCCCGTGGTCCCCCGTGGTCTTAACCAACTACTACTGGCTTCACTCTCAGACCTGCAGATGGTTAACATCTCCCTGCGAGTGCTATCTCGACCCAACGCCCTGGAACTTCCCAGCATGTATCAGCGCCTGGGGCTAGACTATGAGGAGCGAGTGTTGCCGTCCATCGTCAATGAAGTGCTCAAGAGTGTGGTGGCCAAGTTCAATGCCTCACAGCTGATCACCCAGCGGGCTCAGGTCTGACTCCCATCACCATCTGCACTGTGTCGGCATTTCCCTCCTAGGTGCAGGGCATAGGGACCAGGTATGAGGAAAGGCAGCTTATTAGAAAAGGGTTGTGACCCTTGTTCCATTTCCATCTAAAAGCGGCACTAACGGCCACTGGAAAACAAGGAGAGCCAAGACTGGAACTCAGTAGCAGTCAGTGTTGTAGAGCAGAGAAGAAAACACTAACAACAAAGTGTAGACTTTGCCTGCACCTCTTTTGGCAAGGAGGCTGATGTTACAGGTTTGTCTGACAGGAAGCTGAGGAGGTGCACATTGTATTAAAACAGAGGGTTAGGAGTCAGTGTAACTTCGGGCAGTCATCCCACCGCTAAGCTCGTCTTATCTATCAAATGAAAAGATTAGACCAAGTCCTTTCAACTCAGATGTTCTAGTGAGGAAATAAAGAGTTAGGGCATTTTCTGCCACCCTCAGGAAATCAGGTGGTCACAGCAACACACCTTCGTTTCAGTTCTCCAGTCCCCTCAAATTGCCCCTCCCTTCCCCTCCTCACCCCTGCCCCCAGGTGTCCCTGTTGATCCGACGGGAGCTGACAGAGAGGGCCAAGGACTTCAGCCTCATCCTGGATGATGTAGCCATCACAGAGCTGAGCTTTAGCCGAGAGTACACTGCTGCTGTAGAAGCCAAACAAGTGGGTGAGTTCCAAGAGGAGTGGGACAAGAGCTTCTGAGAATGCAGGAGGAGGGAGGACTGTTGGTGATGTTCCTGACCCCTTGCATCTGTGACCCCCTGACTCCTATTGCAGCCCAGCAGGAGGCCCAGCGGGCCCAGTTCTTGGTGGAGAAGGCGAAGCAGGAACAGCGGCAGAAGATCGTGCAGGCTGAGGGTGAGGCTGAGGCCGCCAAGATGATATCCTTTTGCTAGAGCAATCTCAGCCCAGCCCCTCTTGCACCCTGCTTTTCCTGTCCTCTCTGGTGGGCCGGCTGATGACACTAAGGCGAATGTGACTCGGTGCCTGCTGACCCTGGCTCCCTGCGGGGTGGGGATTAGGGATGGCATCTGAAATCTTAGTGGGGGTGCCTGAGGCCTGGCTCTTCACTGTAAGGCCAGATCAATAGCACTGCTGGCCTTGCCTCCATTTCCGCTGCTGTCCCCAGTTCCTGGCAGCTGCGTGCAGGGGGGCCCACAGGTGGGGACCAAAGTAGGGTGAGGCACGAGCCATCTGAGCACAACCTTGGATCTGACAGCCCAGAGGACTGGAGAAGGGGTGGGAGGGAGTAGGGAGGATGCGGCCAGGGATTGAGAGCTAGCCTTGTATGGACCCTTAACCCTGGCTTGCTCACCTTGGAGAAGCACTGAGCAAGAACCCTGGCTATATCAAACTGCGCAAAATCCGGGCAGCCCAGAACATCTCCAAAACGGTAAATACGAGCCCAGCATGTCTCACGGGGGCTGCCTTGAGAGGGCAGGTGTTTTAAGTTAAAGCACAGTCACATGAACAAATTATAGAGTCTTGCATCTTGAGTTTTCTACTCAGACTGGCTTTGACACGCCTCTCCCCATCAAAAATGATTCTTCTGGGCTCCTGTGACACTTTGTTCATGCCTTTTTGGTGGTGCCCTGGTGGCACAGTGGTTAAGAGCTCAGCTGCTAACCAAAAGATTGGCAGTTCAAATCCACCAGCTGCTCCTTGGAAACCCTATGAGGCAGTTCTACTCTGTCCAGTAGGGTGGCTATGAGTTGGAATTGACTCAGCAGTGGGTTTGGGTTTTTTTGAACATTACATATTTGAGTTGCTCACTTCTCTGGGTCCTCAAATGAGGGCAGAAACCATGTCTTATTCATCTCTGTATCCCTAGTCCTAACCCACATGTGTTCCATAAATGGTTATTGAATTGCAAGGGTAGCAGTCAAGATTTTCATTGCTTAATGCAAACTTCTGTCTTGTTGTTTCCCCATAGATCGCCACATCACAGAATCGTATCTATCTCACTGCTGACAACCTTGTGCTAAACCTACAGGATGAAAGTTTCACTCGGTGAGAGATGAAACTACACAGTAGGGGTGTCACGAAGAATGTGAGGCTTGTCTGGCCACTTGAGTTCTGGAGGCTGCACTGTGACCAGCTGCTCATGTGACCCTTGAAAGATGCTATTTCTCTGAACCAAGGTTTTATCAGTTAGAAACGGAGGTGGTTGACAATTCCTATCTTGTATCTCGTAGGATTGATTTTATGAGATCAAATAGGATCATTCAGTTGTAAAGTTTTATCTAACTGAAAAATGGTGAAAGATAGTATCTGTTGTTTTTACTCAGCAGCCCTAAGCTTACTGCTTTGGAACATGGGAGGATGTTAGGAGAGATGAGAAATATCAGGGGCCAAGAGAAAAGTCTCTTTCATGAGCTAATTCCTGGCTTCCAACCCCTGCTTTGTCTTTTTGTCTTGGAAGGAAAGGAGGGTTTAGAGCTGGGGTGGGGGTGGGGGGCGTAGAAGTGGAACCTGAAGCTGTCAAATCACATGTGCGTTTCTTTTCTCTTCCTGTGACTTCTGTTCATCTGGTGATGTGATACTTCAGGGGAAGGTAGGGCATTGCATCCTTGTTTCTCTGGGGTCCTGCAGCCCGTCTTCTCCCGTTCCCTGCCTCCTCACCCACCGTCCCACTTCCCTTGACCCCCTACATTCCCCTTTCCCACATATACACCCTCAGTTGGGAGGAGGGTAGTTAAGGAGGGAGTAGCCTGGGGTGCTCTGTCTCTGTCACATTTATTGTCTCCTAATGTCATTCATTTGTCCCTTTGTTTGTACAGCGACAGTCTCATCAAGGCTAAGAAGTGAGCCTGGTGACCAAGAACTTCGCCCCCAGAGAGGAAGTGGGTCTCTTTCTCCCCTGGTTTTCGAGGAGTCAGCTAGGGGTCCAGCACACCCCTGGCCCACCCCAGTATCATGTGATGGTCCCCTCTGTGTCCACCCTCCCAGCCACTCTTGGAAGACTGACCCTTTTTCAAGGAAATGACTTTTCCTCTTCTCCATTTTGTCCAGGGGTGTTGGAACATGTGTGATTTCTCAGTGATTTCCTACAGTGTTGGTTCAGTGCCTCAAGGTTGGGAGGAGATAATCACCATCCCAGGAATTCTCAATAAATTTTTATTACTTAAACTGAAGTCAAGCCCTCACGTGTCTGAGCTGTGTTAGGAGAAGCACGCATGCGCACACTTCAGGGTCTTTCCTGGTATCTGCCAGCAGAGGGTGCAAAGAACCAGGCCAGGGCAGTTAGGGACAAGCAGAACCTAGGCCCTGCTGCCCTCGCCCTCCAAGCCTAACAGAGTGAGACTAGCAGGCCCTGGGATCCTGAGGCCTAGCTGTACTTTTCACCCTACCATCTGTTTCTACTGCATTACCCCATTTATTTACCAACATCTTTCTTGAAGCTGGAGCAGCTGTAGCTTTGCTGAGCCAGACAAAAAAATTCAGGACCCAAGGAGTGCTGCTTCCTTGGTGACAGGGCTTCATGTGGCTATGGAGGAGACCATTTGTGCCCAGTGGATCTTGTTGCCTACTGTGGGCTACCCATACTTAACAGTTTCTTGGTCACCAGATCTGAGGAGCTGTTTGCATAACTGAGGGCTCTGCCTAGGGAGGTGAGCTCCTTACTCCCACAGCTCTGGGTCCCCCACAGAACAGGTACCTGCTTTCAATCCTTAGATGAGCCTCCTGATGTTATTCCCAAGACAGCCCTCACTGAATTCCAAGCACCAGAAACAAAACGCCACTGCTTGTACTTGTATCCCACTACAGCCCGTTTCCCATCCTGTGTCATTACGGGGGGAGCCCTGATGGCACAGTGGTTAAGAGTGCCAGAGTAGTTAAGAATCCACCACCATTGCTTGGAAACCCTATAAGGCAGTTCTGTGTCCTGTGGAGTCACTAAGAGTCAGAATCAACCCCAACAAGTTTGGTTTTTTTGGTCTCTATGGGGAGACAAGAAACATTTGGAAGTATAAAACACTAGGGGCAAGAGTATGTACAGGAATTACAAAAATGTGTGGTAGAGGGACTGGATTAATGTTCAATGTCTTAGAGTTTGAAGAAAGTAGATTAACTTTCCCCTGATCTGGGGGTTCAGTATTATGAAAGGGATAGAGATGAGGCAGCCTGACCCTGAGAAATTGGGAGCCTAATATGAAATTGACAACCATACAAAAGACAGGTCAAGTGATCTGGATCAACCCTCCACGTGTTCTATTCAGACTTTATTTCACTTTCCCAAGGCGGGAAGAGAATGGAGTTGCCTAGGGAACAAGTATTTCCAAATCCTGCTGCAGCTTAGAGGCAGCCATTTTGTTTCCTCTGCATTGTTCCCCTTTTCCTAGTGATTCACCCCCGATCTGGCAGGGTAAAGGTCAGAGGTTGTTGGTCAGGAGAACTTCATGGTCTTCAGGTTGCCCTGAAGGTCTTTGCAGAGGGAACCGACCCGGGGGCCATCTTTACCAGACAGTGTTAGGAGCTTCACAATTAGACCATCCAACACTGTACTGGAAGATGGACTCAGAGCCGGCCAACATGGAATTCCAGGCTAGAGCTGACCAGTTGCTACAGGAAACCTAGCCACAGGCCAGGTGAGGTCTCTTGAGAGTGCAGGAGTCAATTGCAGGTTCGAGGTCGAATGTGGGTTCTGGACCCACCAGATGATAAATCACACTGGGTTGGGGGAGGGCCCAGGGCCCATTGTATCCCTTCAATGGGCAGCGCCAATTGAGAGCCACCTCTTCTACAGCACCCTGCACTGGAGATGAAGGGGCCTCCACGGTGGGTAGGAAGACGGAGGTGCAGGACTTCGCCCGCTAGGGGCTGGGGCCTGAGGTGATGTATACTGCTGGCCTGGAGACAGGGGCCTCCATCATTACCCGGCAGTATTAGAGACTCCCAACTAGCACCCAAACACTGCTGGGTAAGACGGGGGCCCCCACTCAGCCTGCCCACCTCCAGGCCAGGCAGCCCCCCACTCAGACTCCCTGCGAAGAGGCTGTAGAACACTGGCTCCCCTCCCCCCACCACCTGCGTCCCTGGGGACACTTCCGGGTGAGTCCTGCTCCCTGCCACCAGCCCCACCCTGAGAAGCTGATCATCTGAGGCCCAGGAAAGACTTCAGCAGCCCCCCTGCCCATCTGTCCTCCTTCGAGCCCCTTCCACCACCACCCCCATAGCCTATACCTCTTCCCAACTCACGTCAATTCACCAGCCCTTAGTCCCTGCTTTGCAGTCCCTAGCTCAGCCCCAGGACCCTTCTCCCGGTGGCTTTTACCTGTCACCGGACTCGCCTGCCCCCTAGAGAGTAGGTGCTGAGGAGAGAAAGAGGAGTTGAAGCCCTGGATTCAACAGCCCGGAGCCCGCCTTGGCCTCCACTCTTCCTCCTTCCTTCTCCGCCAGGCAGCACCGGACTCCTCACCTGGGCCCCGCCCGCCCGCCGCCCTGCGCACAGGTGTGTCCTTCTGCCATAGGCTGCCCCCTCCACCGCCTTAACCCCTTACCTCCCAGCGCCAGCTACAGGCGCCTTCTCTGAGGCTGGGCCCAGCCATTAGGCCTCCCAACCTTTCCCGGGGTCTCTTCCCTCCCATTGGCCTACTCTGCCTCCAGGACTAGACTAGGGAGTGTGATCTTCCTAAGAGCAAAAGGAAGACTGTCTTTGGATCCCCTTTGCCTTCCTCCTCAGCCCCACCCTACTGCCTCTCCTGCCCCCAGGCCTAGCCCCCTCATCTGAGGCCTGACCCTGCCTACAAACAGAGCCCCAAGACCCTCCAAGATCAGTGAGGGGTCAGCTCAGCAGGGGGTTAGGTTGTGCTCCCCACCCCGCCCACCCCCCTAGTCCCCCATGCCTAGGGCCTGTCTGGGCATAGCCTGAGGGAAAGGGGTGGTAGGAGACACTGCCCAGCCTGTGGCGGATAGGCAGGTCCCCAGCAGAGCTGTCCCTTTCTCACCCCCAGTGTCAGGCGCCCGCCCCTGTCCAGGTCTCTGCTTCCCTGAACCTCGACCAGGCCCAGGCTGGCCAGGAGCATCAGACTGACCCTGCTGATTGGTTCCTCTTCAACCTTCAAAGCAGTCCCGCCCCCCACAGAAGCAGGGCTGCTCTGCACCCACCTGAATCCCTCCTGCAGTAGACATCCCAGCCCAAGGGCAGTTAGAAGCAGGGGTGTCAGGGTGGACCTCGCCTTTCCTTTGTGCAGCTCTGCTGGGCTCGGAAAGGCGGTTGCTGGGAGAAGGGCCCTGAGGCCTCCAGGTGATCGCCCCACCCACCCACTCTCTGGAGGCCCACCGCTCCAGTCAGCTATTGTGTTGCTCTTTCCTAACTCTGAGTCCTTCTTAATACCTGCCAGTAACTATTTTACATGTTTGCGGACTGTTTCTGGGTCTGTCTTCTCGACAAGTCTTCTAAGCCCCATGAGGCCAGGAACTATCACCATGGCATCCCCACCACTAGTCCAGTGCCTGTGACACAGTGGACACGCACAAGGCGTTTGCTGAATAAATGAAGTCAAGCCCCACTTCTTAGGTGTCCCAGTCAGTTAGCAGGGAACCAGTTCTTGCTGACTCACACAGGCTTATTGCCCCAGGAGCTTAGCATTTTAAGTGAAGATAAAGCCTTAGTGCAAAGGAATCTGTTGGAAGGCCACTCTGGACACTGGGGAAAGAAGGGAAGACAGAAAACACAATCCTCCAACAGCAAGTGGCCGCTACACAAACTAGGACTGGACTGGGGGTGTGAGGGCAGCAGTGTCCTCAGAGAGGGGAGAAGCAGGTGCTAACATGGCCCACCTTGGCCCAGATGAGTGGGAGCCTGGGAATGTAGGCATCAGGCCTGTGCTTCCTGGCCTTTATTAATCTTCTTAGTTCTTGGATCTGGGGGTTAGCATCAGGGGTGAGTGGTTGCGTCCCCCTTGGGGTCACCCCAGCTGCGTCTCCTTGGTGAGGAGTGTGGGGCTAGACTATCTGGGTGAAAACTGTAGCTGTACTGCTCCATAGTCCTGTGATCTACTATCAAATGGGAATGATAAGGGGCCTAGATTGAATTAATACATGTAGTCTTCTAAGCAGTGTCTGGCCCATGGCAGAAGCCCTGGTGGAGCAGTGGTTAAGAGCTTGGCTACTAACCAAAAGGTCAGCAGTTCAAATCCACCAGCCGTTCCTTGGAAACTCTATTAGAGCAGCTCTACTCTGTCCTGTAGGATCACAATGAGTCAGAATCAATACAATAGCAACAGGTTTGGGGTTTGTTTTTTTTTGGCCCATGGCAAGGAGTTCCTGAGTGGTGCAAACCCAGCTAGAGGCGCCTTGGAAGAAAGGCCTGGTGACCCTATGGAGCACAGTTCTACTCTGACAATATGGGGTCGTCATGAGTCAGAATCCACTCAAGGGCAACTGGTTTTTGGTTTGGCCCGTGGCTAATACCTAGTACATTATTGTGGTGATTGTTATGATCATCCATTATCTCTGTGATCTTTCACATCTACCCTGTGTTGGGGGTGGGGCAGGGCACTTGTGATTAACACCCATTTAAAGAAAAGAGACTGAGGTCCCTTGCCCAAGGCCACCCCCGAGTTTCCTCAGAGCACCAGGTCTGTGTGACTGCTGAGGCTGAGCTTCTGCACACCCACACAGACCACTTCCCTGCCCATCTCCACTCCACCCCAGCACTGCGGGCTGAGGTCCTCTCTACCCCACCCGCCCAGGCAAACAGAGGTAGAGGCTACACACACAATGACCGGAGAGACTTTATTTACAAGAGTAGAAGGGCATGACCCTGCCTGGGCCTTGCTGGGCTATATACAGTGGCGGGGAGAGGGAGGTGGGGACACGGCCATTTAAATTACAATGGAATAGGGGGGCTCCTAGGTTCAGGCTGTGGGTCATCCACTGGAGGCCTCTGCAGGGGTCAGGGCTGAGGCTGCGGAGAGATGGGGAAGGGAGTGAGGCAGGTGTCTGGAACCTGGGGAGAGGGAGAAAGGAACAGGCGTGGAAGCGGCCGGGGAGGGCAGGGTGAGGTGCGGCCACGGGCCCAGGGGACAGTGCGGGCAAGGCAGGGAGGAGAGGAGACCGAAGCAGCAGGCCATTACCATGGCCACCTCTGGAGGGTTCCAGCTCACTTCTTCTTGAAGGAATCCTTGCTCTTCTCCTTGTCTGCTGACCGCTGCTTCTTCATCTTCTCCTCCTTCTTGTTCTTACCGTGCAGGTTCTCATACATATCCTCCCTGTGTCTGCAGGGGGGCGTTGAGGGTGCAGGCCATTGGCTCAGGCCAGGAGATGGTCATCCTGCACCTGCAGCCCCTCTGGGCTGTTACATACTTCAGAGTTCTTACCAACACCCTATCTGACAGGTGAGCAAAGCGAGCCCAGGAAAGCAAGGCAACCTGGTCACCGTCCCTCCGCTAGACTGCAAGCACCTTGAGGGCAGAGGCTGTACTTCATACATGAGCACACTGGCAGCACTGAGCACAGGCCACAGTAGGCACTCGGGAAATGCTTGTCAACAGTGGTAGTAGGAACCAGGCTTGAACTTTAACCCACGTCTCCCCAACTCCAGTGCACATCCTCTCCAGATGCTGGGGGGTGGCAGGCAAGGGTCACTCACTTGGAGGAGGTGCGGGAGGCCTTGGCATGGGTATTCTTCATGGCTGGGGGGTATGTGATGTTCCCGTACTCCGACTCCCTGCCCTTCTGGGACTGTGGGCAGAGGCGTGGTGGGAAGTGGTGGTTCCAGCTGGGCCAGGTGTGACCCACCCACCCCCCCTTCAGCCCCCCCAGGCCCTGCTCTGCACGCACCTGCATGACCTCCAGCTTCTTCTTGGTTGTTTCAATGAACTGGGCAATGGCCACGTAGATGAACTTGTACTGCGCCTCTGTCTGCACCATGCCCGAGCGCTGCGCCCGCACCATCTGGATTGTCTTCTGGATGTCGATGTCACAGTCCAGCCCTGGGCAGGGGTGGCAGTCGGACATCAGGCCCCAGGCAGAGGTGGTCACAGAGAAGCCACTCGCCCATTGCCCACCCTGCGCTCCCACAGGTGCCCCTCACCCTTGGTGGAGATGCTCTCCATAAGCATGTCAATGACGATGATGGTGCCTGTGCGGCCAATGCCCGCGCTGCGGAGAAAAGGGATGCCATCAGAGGCCAGTCAGCACCTCACCAGGAAGGGGCCCAGGGCCCAGCTGTAGCCATTGGGCAGAACACAAAGAAACTGAGGCTCCCGCATGATGAGGTAACCAGCCCAGGAACACTCAGCCAAAGGGGCAGAAGTCTGCCAACTCTGCCCGTGTTCTTGACTTCAGCCAAGGGACTTTTGAGGTCTCGCCACCACCATTGTCCTTCTTCCCAGCACTGCACTCCTCCACTTCCTGCCTCAATTCCTAATTCCTGACTGGTGGCTACTCCACACCCCAAAAGATCTAGGACCTCCAATCCCACCACAGCCCGGC